TTGGACCATTTATATGTTGATAAAACTAGTGTTTTAAAATAAAATTATCTCATAAACAATGTGAAATACACCCTTTTAAACATAAAATATAACAAAAATTACAAACTAAAAACTAGATCTTCATGTATCATTAATTGGGCTTGAGTCTTCTACCTACAAGTTGTTCCTACATCTCTACCCATTGGACATTATAGTTGTGCATTAGGAATATCTCCTTTTTCTTATTCATAGGGAGATGTGGGATCATTACATATATAACAAGACGTGCCATGCCAGCATGGCTCTCCTTTCACAAGTGGTATTTATCTATTTTCTCATTTTTTGTAATTTTCTTATTTTCTTTAGCTTTAAAGATATAAAATGCTAATCATTGTCATTAATAAAAAAGTTGCACAGGGGATGTAAGTAAGTTTGGTATTTTAGCCCCCCCCCCCCACAAGGATTATTAAAGAACTCAATTTTATATATTTACTAATGCTTAAGTATTTAAAATATTTAACTACTATTTACAAAAAATTGTAACATAAGTGAAGAAAATGTAGCACTAACAGATAATATGGAAAAAATAAGTATTTTATTAAGTAATTAGTAGTACTTTATTAATTTGTTAAAATTATTAATATAATTAATCCAAAATTACTATATTACTAAATTATTGTCGTAACAAATTATTAAAATAAAGATTAATTATTTAAAAAAACATTACGCTACTTTCTTAATTATAAGCTTTGATATAATAGGTTAAAATAATAAGCCAATGTTTGAGAGTGCTTATTTTTAAGCACTATTTAAATAACCACTTACTTCAGGCAAGGATCACACCAATAAAGACTTGTTGGAATAAGTGCCTCTTGAGTAATAAGTGTTTCTTGAGTAAATAACCACTTACTTCAAGCACTATTTAACTAATAAGTGTTTCTTGAGTAAAAACCCTAATAAACGCTTATTCATGGAAATAATAAGCCCGTTTTGAATGGTGCTTATTTTTTTAAGCACTTATTGCTTTTTTATCCGTTTTGACTTGTCGTGTAATTTTTAGGGTTAATAGCAGATAAGGGCAACTTTTTGCCCTTAATATCAACAAAAGAATACTATTTTTATATAATAACCAAAACAGGGTATCTTTCTTTTTGCGAAAATATCAAATAAGGGCAATGTCACTATTAATAGTCTTCCTCAGCCTCTGTGTAAGTCCTTTGGCTATGGTCTACAATTCATGAAGAGAGGAGAGTCACTGAAGAAACAGATGGAAATTCTCATCGAGCTCAAAGCCACTCTCAAACAACAAAGAAATAAAGAAAACTCTGCTGAGGACTCGAAAGAGGACCCCTCCATCTCAAGCACAATCTCCTGTGGTATGTTATATATATTTCAAATTCAAACTCTGTACATCCATGGGTTTATTGGATTCATGCATTCAATAATCTCTTCTCTTTTCTATCTCTTGACTGAAGACGGTGAGTCTGTTAAGGACATGACAGAGTAGGAACATCTTCAAGACAACTCCACGGCTGAGACGCTGAGTTTGAAAGAAATGAAGCACAATTCTCAGAATCTCCAAGATCAAATCAGATTGGAAAATCAATTAGGATGAAAAGAGAGGAAGAAGATGAGAACCCTTTCAGGTCGTGTGATCAATTGCCAAGGAAAGAATGTGAAGATAAACATCCCACTAACGACGCCAAGTCGTACCCTCTCAGCGATCACTTACTTGGTTTGGGATGATTTGATTAACCGGTCCAAGAAAGGTGGACCAGAAGGAAATAATAAGTCAAAAATCAATAAAAAGAAGCTACATCATGCCAAGAAAATGATCAGAGGAGCTTTCATTGAGCTCTATAAAGGGTTAGGTTCGCGATGACAAGCAAGACGAACTCATGGCTTATTTGAGGGCAAAGACAGTGATTTACGAATTCTCTGTAAACGTTAATAGAGAAGGGTTCGCCATTAAGAGCAAGACGAGCTCATGGCTTATTTGAGGGAAAAGACAGAGTGATTTGTGGATTCTCTGTAAACGTTAATAGAGAAGGGTTTGCCATGAGTTATTGACGGCAAACATCACTCGCTCAGCTCAAGTTTATTGAGGAGGAAGACGAATGCCCTTATTTGACATTTTTCAAAAAAGATGTCTTATTTCGGTTATTATATAAAAAATATTATTTTTATTGATATTAAGGGCAAAAAGTTGCCCTTAACAACTAGAAACCCTAATTTTTAAAAGGGTAAATTTCCTAAACTACCCTTATGGTTTAGCGAATTGACTAAGTGTACCCTTACTGTTTGAAAATTGTCTAACACTACCCTTACTGTTTCCGACAATTGACTAAGTCTTACAAGCATCGTTAAATATGGACGGAAAGGTTGAAATGTCCATTTTACCCTGTAAAAGCTAACTGTAACAATCACTTAGTCGTCATTAACCACCAATAGCCGTGAAGATCTACGATCTATAATCGTTGTGCTTTCATATGTGCTTCTCAAAGACAAATGGCCGTTTGAACTATCATAACAAAATGGCATTTGAAAAATAAAATCAAAGAAAACCCTCACCCATTTGAATCCATGTCCTAAACAACACTTCTAACTCCAAAAATCCAACTTTGTAAAGATCCAAAAGCTCTTGTTCTCCCTCTACAACACCGCAGTGGTTATCGACATTTCTTCAGGGATTCCAGCGGCTCTCTCTCTCTCTCCCTCTCGCCCTAGTCATGTAGAGGCTCGCAGCACGGAAACAACTCCCATACCTACTTTGAAGCTATACGGGCACAACTCTCGTTCTCTCTCTCCCTCTCCCTCTCCCCCCGTTCCTTTGTACCTACTCTGCAGACAACTACCAATCCTCCACCTCCTCTAGAACTTGATGCCAGAAAAATCCGATGGTCAATCTTTGAAGAAAAGTAAAGCTTCACTTTATTGATGTCGATCGATTGGAGCAGTGGAAGAACATTTTCCAGAGATAGGAAATTATTCACAATCTAGCCATAGTTTATGCCCATTGAAGCTACTAGTGCGGGAAACAAAAAACCTACAAGGAGATAGGATTTGGGGACAAAGGATCGATTACTTTACTTTCTGGCAAATGTGAAGGGTGTCTAAGGGCGGGGAGAAAGCAGAAGAAACTCCTTACCTGAGATCAAGGTTCAAAGTATCGAAAACGCAAGGTGTATCAGAAAGACAATTTTAAGAGACGTATCAAGATACTCTTTGGATACAAATGAAAAATCAAGATACGCATAAATATGGTAAAAAATTCAAATAAATCTTTAAAATATATCGCTAACTATATTTACATATTTTATATGATTGTAAATAAGTCATTTAAATGTAAAATACCATAATTTAATGGTTTATATGAAGTGTAACATATCGAGAAAAATGATGGAATAACTAAAATGTAAAAAAAATTAAAATGTGAATGTCAATTTTCAAAAACCAATATAATTAATCTTAATATTTATTAGTATATAAATTTTAATAATTAATTCTAGCATTTATTAATAAAAACTTGTCACTCATTAAGAAAAGTGAAAATTTACTTACTATTAAAAATACATATAACCATAGCAAACAAATATGTGTGGCTCATTGGTGGACTTGTGGTTGTTAAAATCAAGTGACCAAGGTTCAAAGCTAAAATTTGAAGTTTTTACACTAACAAAACGAAATTAATGATAGGGGATCATTAATTATAGGAATTAATGAGAGAATTTGAATGAGGCGCTAAAATTCAAATTCAAATTTAAATTTGTCTTAGAGTAATTGGCTAATTAATGAAAGAGAAATTAGACTTAAATAAACAACATTAATGAGAAATGGAACAAATGATTTATACACATTCCGCATATCAGATTCTTGTCAAAACAATATGTATCAACCGATACGGACCGATACATTACAATATTTTGAACCTTGCCTGAGACCAAAACAATGATTGAACAACCACCTACAACCATTGGGGAGTGGTTCAAAGTAGTTGACGCCAATGACAGGGACAATGAAGAAGAAGAGAGAGGGATGAAGACAAAATTGGGTTTTAAAGAAAATTTATACGTGGTGTCACATGTGTATAGATTTTGATGGAACATTAACGGATATTAAGACAAGGGTAGAGTTAGTCAATTAACTAAACAGTAGGGGTAGTTTAAAAAATTTGCCTTTTTAAAATATGTATACTACCCTGATTGAAAGAAGCACTTTTTTATCAAATGCACATATTTGATAAACACTTAGGGTCTGTTTGGTTCATAGTCAGAATCGAAATCCTCCAGAGTTGGAATTGGAATCAGAATGATTCATTCCCATAGTCTGTTTGATTCAGACAAGAATAGGAATGAGAATTAAAATCAGCATGAATGAAATTTCATTCCCAAGGGAATGGCCATTCCTTCAAATGGGGGAATGTCATTCCATCAGGAATGAGAATGAGATTCTAATTCTGCCCAACCAAACAGTTGAAATCGAAATAACCCATTCAGATTCCGATTCTAGACCCCTATTCGTGTGAACCAAACGGGACCTTATTTTTAACAAAAACCGATCTAATAAATTGGATGGGACCCAAAGCAGAGAACCGGAAGGTTCGGAACCGCCAAAATTAGTTCAATCGGTTCGGTTCCATCCGATAAACCCGCCCACGAACGCTCTTCCAATTCAATGACTCTCTTTCTTAGAGGGGCAAAAAAGTAAATAAAGTTTAATCGTTATCGAGATGTTTCATTCAAAGTACACACGCGTCAACAGCAGCATACCTGAAAATGTCTCTGGATTCTTCGAGCATGCGATCACCGGAAATCTCTAGTAGGTTCCAGGCTCCACTGATTCCGAATCCTCTACGGGAACCGGAGGAGACTGGGCAAATCATAATAGGCCACGTTGTCCTCTTTATAACTATTTCGAATAAGGAGCCGACGTGGTCCATCGTGATTGGATCAGTATTACGAGTACAACTGTAGACGATTTGAATCGCCATCTTCCCTTCCAGAGGTCTCTCTTCCCTCAACAAAAAGGACTCCCCTTACTCTTCACAGAATCAGAACAGAACGAAGAAACGAAAGCCAAAACAAGAGAAGAGCATCAAGTTCGCAGATACATTACTTCATTTTCGCTAGTTGAATTTTGAAGTCTTATTTTCCTGATCGAGAACCGGAAACAAGGGTTCGGAAATATCAGTTTGGTTTGAGGGTATGATTCTTCTATCAGTTTGTTTTCTTGATACTTCATCTTTTCTTGAATGAATTTTCAACACCGGGAAAATGAATTGTAATGTTGCCTTCAATTCTTGGTTGTTTCCTTTTTTTTTTTTAAAGCTCATAGTTCAATTTGTTCCACTACTCTCTGTTCTTTTTCCAACAATCTATATATTCTTTTTCTTTTTCTCCATCTCTGCGTGTTTCTGTTGCTTATTTCGATTTGAACAATCCAAAATATTTGATTTTTCGTTTTTGTCTAAATCCATTTCTGATTTTGCAGGTTTTTAATTTCATCTGTGACAAGAAGAAGCAACAATGAATCCTGACAAGTTCACTCACAAAACAAACGAGGCCATTGCCGGGGCTCATGAACTGGCAATGAACTCTGGCCATGCACAGTTTACTCCAATTCACATGGCCATCACATTGATAACTGACCCAAATGGCATCCTCCGGCAAGCAGTCGCCAATGCTGGTTGTGGAGATGAGGCCGCCAACTCATTTGAACGAGTCCTCAATCAAGCCATGAGGAAAATTCCGTCTCAGCATCCTGCCCCGGATGAAATCCCTGCAAGCACTTCTTTGATTAAGGTAATCAGGCGAGCCCAATCGTCGCAGAAATCTCGCGGCGATACTCATCTTGCCGTTGATCAGTTGATTCTTGGTCTTCTTGAGGATTCCCAAATCGGAGATCTCCTCAAGGAGGCTGGGGTTAGTGTGGCAAGAGTGAAATCAGAGGTTGAGAAGCTTCGAGGGAAGGAAGGAAGGAAGGTTGAAAGTGCTTCCGGCGACACCAATTTTCAGGCATTGAAGACTTATGGTCGTGACCTTGTTGAACAGGCTGGGAAGCTAGACCCAGTCATTGGTAGAGACGAAGAGATTCGAAGAGTGATAAGAATTCTCTCTAGAAGAACAAAGAACAATCCAGTTTTGATTGGAGAACCTGGTGTGGGTAAGACCGCTGTGGTGGAAGGACTGGCTCAGAGAATCGTCAGAGGAGATGTCCCAAGCAACCTTTTAGATGTGAGACTTATTGCTTTGGATATGGGTGCCCTTGTGGCTGGAGCCAAATACAGAGGAGAATTTGAGGAGAGGTTGAAATCTGTATTGAAAGAGGTCGAAGAGGCTGAAGGGAAAGTAATTCTCTTCATTGATGAGATCCATCTGGTTCTTGGAGCTGGTCGAACTGAGGGTTCCATGGATGCAGCTAATTTGTTCAAGCCAATGCTTGCCAGAGGCCAGCTGAGATGCATAGGTGCAACTACCCTTGAAGAGTACAGGAAATATGTTGAGAAGGATGCTGCTTTTGAGAGACGATTCCAGCAAGTTTATGTTGCAGAGCCCAGTGTTGCAGACACAATCAGCATCCTTCGAGGATTGAAAGAGAGGTATGAAGGCCACCATGGTGTTCGAATTCAAGACAGAGCTCTTGTGGTTGCTGCTCAGCTCTCTAGTCGCTACATTACTGGTATGTAACAAGCTCTTGTGGTTGATGAGTGGTTTTGGGGATTAAATTCAAATTTGTTTTTTGAGATTTTGGTTTATAGATTTGGTTTCAAATTGGGGTTTTAATTAATGTATCTTTTGCTCTGTTTAGGCCGTCATCTACCCGATAAGGCAATTGATCTGGTTGATGAAGCTTGTGCAAATGTGAGAGTCCAGCTTGATAGCCAACCTGAAGAGATTGATAACCTTGAAAGAAAGAGAATTCAGTTGGAAGTTGAGATGCACGCTCTTGAGAAAGAGAAGGACAAAGCAAGCAAAGCCCGTCTTGTTGAGGTGAGTAAAACATAAATTATGATAATATCTGGTCTGGTATTTGTTATTTGAATGTTCACTTCTTTCAATACTTCGACTGCTGACTCATTTGTTACTGTATCAGGTCCGGAAAGAGTTGGATGATTTGAGGGATAAATTACAACCACTGGTAATGAAATATCGAAAGGAAAAAGAGAGGGTAGATGAGATGCGTAGATTGAAGCAAAGGCGTGAGGAGCTTATGATCAGTTTACAAGAGGCTGAGAGAAGAATGGACCTGGCTAGAGTGGCAGACCTGAGATATGGTGCCATTCAAGAAATAGAGTCTGCAATTGCCAAGCTTGAGGGGAGCACTGATGAGAATCTAATGCTTACTGAAACAGTTGGACCTGACCAGATTGCAGAAGTGGTGAGCCGATGGACAGGCATACCTGTCACCAGGCTTGGACAAAATGAGAAGGAGAGGCTGGTAGGGCTGCCTGAGAGGCTGCACAAGAGAGTTGTGGGACAGGACCAAGCTGTGAGTGCTGTTGCAGAGGCTGTTTTAAGGTCCAGAGCTGGTTTGGGTCGACCACAGCAACCAACTGGTTCATTTCTCTTCTTGGGTCCAACTGGTGTTGGTAAGACTGAGCTTGCCAAGGCACTTGCCGAGCAACTCTTTGATGATGAGAACCTGCTTGTGAGGATTGACATGTCAGAGTACATGGAGCAACATTCTGTTGCCAGATTGATTGGCGCTCCTCCTGGGTAAGTTTTTTTTTTTTTTTCTAAATTATATTGATATTACGCCTGTTCTCCAGCAAATGAGTCTTTGTTCCTCACATTTAAGTTGGGATTTTCAGGTATGTTGGACATGAGGAAGGCGGGCAGCTCACTGAGGCTGTGAGGCGGAGACCTTACAGTGTCATATTATTTGATGAAGTCGAGAAAGCGCACATCTCTGTCTTCAACACCCTCCTTCAGGTTCTTGATGATGGTAGACTGACTGATGGCCAAGGGCGCACTGTGGACTTCACCAACACAGTGATCATTATGACTTCAAATCTTGGAGCAGAGCATCTCCTTGCAGGACTCATGGGCAAATGTACAATGCAGAGTGCTAGGGAGAGAATCATGCAGGAGGTAAGAATTGAGAACCACGTTGCTAGCTTTTTTGTAATGCATGAACTTTTGACGGGAGTTGGGACATATTGTGACCAATTTTCCTATTTTGATGAGTTGCAGGTTAGAAGACATTTCAGGCCAGAGCTGCTCAATCGACTAGATGAGATTGTGGTCTTTGATCCTCTTTCTCATGAGCAACTAAGGAAAGTTGCTAGGCTCCAAATGAGGGATGTAGCAAGCCGCCTTGCCGAGAGGGGTGTTGCTCTGGCCGTGTCTGATTCTGCTTTGGATATTGTTCTAGCTGCTAGCTACGATCCAGTAAGTAAACTAGTCTTCAAGGATAGTGCATTTGTTTGCGTTTGTCTTTGTTTGAAGAAGGCTCACGCTAATGTCTTTGCTGTGTTCAGGTGTATGGAGCAAGGCCGATAAGAAGGTGGCTAGAGAAGAAAGTTGTGACAGAGCTATCTAAAATGCTCATAAGGGAAGAGATAGATGAGAACTCCACTGTCTATATTGATGCTGGGCCTGGAGGAAAGGAGCTCATTTATCGTGTGGAGAGGAATGGAGGATTGGTGAATGCAACAACTGGACAGAAGTCAGATATATTGATTCAGATCCCCAATGAGATTAGGAATGATGCTGCTCAAGCGGTGAAGAAGATGAATGATAGAAGAGATTGATGAGGATGAAGAGATGGAGGACTAAAGTTGGACAGTGAAACCTACTAGACCCACTCTCTGGATTTACAGGAGAGGGTTTTCTGTCATGTTTTGGTTGTCTTTGTTTTGACTGCTTTGATCATGAAACTTCCGACTTGGGATGTTTTTGAATTTCTGATGCTGTCTGAATAGAATTGTATAAAAAAAAAGTGTTAATTGATTTTGGAATTTTTGGTAACAAAATGATCTTACTAAAAGAAAAGACAAACGAGATCCCAGACTACAGGGGAACAACGCACTACTATAATCACACAGATGCAATTACCAAAACTACTAGCACTTAAGCAGAGACTACGCGAAGCAGCAGACTCTTAGCAAGCCAACAAGGCAGAGCATCACGGGAAGTAAAACCAGAACTTAAGCCAGCCACATCAACTTCATGAGTAGCTCTATTAACTTTAGCGAAACCCACTGAAGCTTGAACGACCTGTTAAAACTTAAGGATTTAATATCTCTACAAATGAAGTCCATCAAGACTTTTCACCAGCACCAAGGAATCAAATTCAAAAACCATTCTAAGTTTTGAGAAACAGCATTCAAAAGGGCTTTTGCCTCAGCAATCAAAGGGGGGTAGCAGCAGAACAAGGACCACTCACAGCTCCCCAACATAAGTTTAAACTGTTTCTGATAATAAAACCAAAAGCTGTTCTGAGTCTTTTAGTAAAACTACCATCTAAGTTAAACTTCAAAATACCTTCCTCAGGTGGAGCCCAGCAGAAAATCCCCATTTGGAAAATACTTGGCTCTCAGCGCCATGGTCCACAGACTATCAACCTCTTTACTTGGCTTCCAAGCTAACTTAGCAAGGAGGGCTAGATTAGATTAAAGGTATCAGGTTCCTGAACCCCAATCCCTCCATCTATCTTATTTCTACAATTTTTTTGCCAAGCATTCCATCTAATTTTCTTTTATTTTTTGATAAATGCAAGAGGTGCTACACGTAGCACGTCCCCTTAAACACTACAAGAAAATTGATTTTCGGCAAACTTCCACTAAATTACTGTTGCTAAAAATAAAAAAAACTGCCGCTGCTTTTAGAAATAAAGCTTTTAGCAGCAGTCAAAAACTGCCACTAAAGAACTTTTAAGCAACAGTTCTAAATGGATGCACTGACTGCCTCTAAATATGAGCAGAGAATCGATCATCCGCTAAGGAATGTTATGCTGATCTGGCTAGCTGAATGGACACTTTAGGACTTGGTTAGATCTGCTTTATAATCATCTTTTAAGTTTAATATATTTCCTCTCTTGTTAATAGAAAAAATGGTTAGCATTACACTCCCCAAATTTCCTATAAGGTGGCAATTCTCCGACACAATTTGTTGGGCATGAATTTCCATACCATCAATTTTTGTGCTACTATTTTTTTTTTTTAATTCTCTTGTATCCAAGTTCTAAATAATTTTAATCATTGGAAGAGCTATAAACATGCTTGAACACCCCTCTATAGGGGCATTGAAAGTGCAAATTACCAAATAAAGGAACAAATGAACAAAGGTAATGGCAACATTGATTATTAGAAAAAAAAAAAAAGGAAGCACAGAGGAACCGTTTTTGAAATTGATAATTTCACTTATGTTTAAACAATACATTCATAAGATAAAAGTAAAAGACAACAATGTTAACCTTTACATTCTGTATATGTGAACCACATTTTTCATTTTTCTCTTGTTCTCTTTTTATTATCAAATCAAGAGAAGGCTCTATCAACCTCAACAGTCCAACTCCTCTTGTCCTCAACAAGACCCATTTGAATGTTTGGGAGGTTTGAGTATAGTCTCTGCAACACTGTCCCAGCTCCAGTTTTGTACTCAAATCTACATAAAAATTGAATGAATTATTATGTTTGTATAACACCCAAAACTTGGGAAGTTGTAATGGAGTATTTATGTTTGAAATGAACAAGAAAAAAGGAAGTAAAAATGTAAAATAAGTCATACCAATTAATTGCATTATTCTGAATTTGGCATTAAAACAGAAAGAAATATGGAGAATCCATGGTTCAACATGCTCAAAGAGTCCTGACAGCTACACTTTCTCTAGTAGGAATTCTCAATTGAAGGGTCATACTCGGAGGGATAAAGTAAAAGCAAGGCCAGCTTGGAACAAGTACCTACATGATTTCTATAACTAACCTGAAGTGTTAACCTTGTCATGAAGAAATTTCAGCTTTAGATTAGACAAAGCCACCATATCAAGATCTCATTGGAACAATTATGAATGACTACAGGTTCATCATATAATTTATTCACATTACAACTACTAGGAGTGCTCACGGTTCGGTGGCTTATTTTTGAACTATATTATCGGTATCTGAAAAACTGGTAACCGAAACCGAACCTAAGCTTACCAGTTCAGTTAACTATCGGTTTAGTTCACCGGTTTTTTTATATTTACAATATATATTATAAAAAAATACATAAATATATAATAAAAACTATAAATATATATAATATTATATTTTAAGTAAATAAATAATATATTATATATTATAAATATATATTTATATGCAATTAGGTGTTCTCATGGTTCGATTAGCCGAACCCTGGGGCATTTTGTTGAACTGAACTGGTAGTACTGGTTTTTGAAAAACCGGTAACCGGTAACCGATAACCGGAATCGAACCAAAACCAATCGATTAACCGGTTGATCAGTTCGGTTAACCGTCAATTCGGTTCGTCAGTTTTTATGGTTTTTTAGTTTTTACAATATATATTAGAAAAAATATAAACATATAATAAGAATTATAAATATATACAGTATTATATTTTAAATTATTTAATATATTATAAATATATATTTATATATATAATGCATATTTATTAATTTATAATATATAAAATATATATAATACATATAATATACATAAATATATACAAAATATATAGAAATATATGTATACCAGTCAGTTCGGTTAACCGCCAATTTTTTATATTGGTTAACTGAAACCGAACCAGTACCTTCAGTTTTTTAAAAACACCAAACCAACCGGTTCAGTTAATCGATTTTTTTTCGATCGCTTTGGTTTTTTAATTTTTTGCTCATCCCCATATGCAATGCATATTTATTAATTTATTATATATAAAATATATAGAAATATATGTATACCGGTTGGAGTTAACCACCAGTTTTTTATATTGGTTAACCGAAACCAAACCAATACCTTCGGTTTTTTAAAAATACTGAACCAAAACCAAACCAAATAGTTCAGTTAATCGGATTTCAGTTTGATTTGGTTTGGTTTTTCAGTTTTTCTTGCTCACCCCTAACAACTATAGGGGTATGGGTAAATGAGGAACATTCAAAATCAGCATTTCACATTGAAAAGGCACATTACCACTTACCAGATGTGCAGTTGCAAGCTGTGAAACAAGTAAAATCATAAATAGCAACTGTTGTTGTGGGAAATCCCTCAGCAGCACAAATGCAGGTCCATCTTTCTCCACTTGCTCCTCCAACAAAATTTTCTGCCATAATAAAGTAATGCAATATAATTTTTAAAATATTGCAGTACATGATATTTCCTCAGTTAGAAAAAGAATGAACATACTAAAGTTATATCAGTTTGCAAGATACTACATTTTTTTTTTTGAGACAGAGAGAGGGTCATATACCTGAATCATACAAATTTGTTTTGAATGAATACCTCAAACAAACTTCCAATTGTAGGGTACCGGGTTAGAAACAGAGTGCATCCACATGCGTTCTTTAGAATGAAGAGTTCAGTTACCATTTGAAGTTGAATAAGAAATTTAAGCTAATAATAATAATTTGCTCAATAACCCCAGATGTTGAGACCTAGAATGATTTATTAAGAATAATCCAAACAAGGTGTACTAATACATCATTTTTATTTATTAGCAGAACCGTAACATTATGTCACTTCCTCTTATCAAATCAGCTACTTACTTGCATGTAGAATGTATTGAAGTCATTGTATCCATCCCTATAGAAAATAGTAACCATCAATAACATGTTCAATAGAAGCTTTTCATAGGATTAGAATTTTAGGATGAAAAACCTAACGACCTATGACCTACAGAGAAATTTAGTTGTAGGAAAATATGGTCTGACTACAAATGGGTGGGATACAGCAAAACCATAGAGGACCTATGGCTGCAATGTATGGAAGGAAAATATGGTCCGAATGATCCAATCAGTTTCATCTTAAGCCATTTGGGGTTATAATAGCCCCATTAAAAATCTTTTTTTTCTTTTTTTTTTTTTTTTGTGTGGATGGTGGTATAAGAGAAGTATCTGAATAAAGAGATGCTTGTAAAAAAAGGTGACAGCTTACCTGACCTGATCTGTCCTCTCGTAGTCAGGAGACTGAATCAGTGAATCACTACAATCTAATCATCAAGTGGTTACTTCAATTAGTAAAGCACCAACAAGTTTTTTTTTTTTTTTTTTAATATCTATTCGCTAGAAAAAGATAATTTAAGAATAAGAATCGAAGTAATAATATGCATACATACATATATGTGTGTATGAGAGAGAGAAAGAGCAAAGGTTCTCAAAACATAAGCAACTTACCTTGGAAATCACTATAACAAATGTTGAAGGCAACTCAAATCCAAGATGTGCAATTTGATGATCAATTCCAATGACATCTGTATTATCAATGAATTTTATCTACACCAAGCACAAAAAAGAAATAAATAGCAACTACGCCCATTACCCCCACCAATCAAAAGAGCAAAGCAGTATGAAAAGCTTGAGCTAAAGAACTCCAACAAACAAGGTTCTTAATCCAAAACAAATCAAGGGGAATTGTCCTTAATGCATGGAACTACCTCTTTAGTTCTCAAGGTAAATCTAGAAAGTCAATTGACAAAATTAGTAGTGCTTCCAAGGCCTCAGTTAAACAAATTGTTAAACCACTATTACCTAAAGAACTTAAATTCATGTTATAGAACATACTATTGTAAAATTTATTGTGCCCATAGACCATTTATGGATGATGTAGAGGAGGAGGAGGAGATTGGGTGGTTACTTGACCAGCAATATACAGTAGTTGATCAATTATGCATCAAGATTGATTATCAAAATATATAAAATGAATACAAGCAACCATTAAGCAAAGTAATGCACTTACTAGTATCATTAGGATGATTCGTCTTTTGATGCAAAAATCAATCATGACCAAAGAGAGAAGACAACTAATGTTTAATAATTTTCATTTAATCCTTCAGAAGCAAAAATCTTCCTTAAAAGTAGGATTCAAGAACACTAATTCTCTAATCATGTCTTCTGAATTCAGAGAAGGAGATTCATATAATATTCAATATATTTCCTGGAATCAACTAGGATTTAGTAACTAAAATTCTAGTCCTTTTGGTTAATACCTTCCTTTAGCACAAGACTTGATTGCTTTGCTTCTCCCAAAATTCTATTCATTTTTGGGCATTTGCATCGAGTTACCATGCTAGTTTTCTTCCTCAAATGAGGGATACCCATGGATGGCATGTTATAAGAAACCACTCCTCAGGTTTAATAAATTGACAATTTGAACAAGGGTTTGATATAGTGGATAGAAGTGGTTTTTTAGAATCTAGATATATCTGAACCACAAAGTCCATAAATCCTTATAATGCATTATCTGAACAATCCAAGCACATGAGCCCAATATATTTGCATCAACTAGTTCCAAAGCCTTGTTTGCATTGCATTCTAGCCATGCCTAAAAGAAACAATCTAAATTTATATATGGTCTAGTTTCACCACTATTGGCAACCGTAAACAATTTTCCACTACCATAGAACTTCTGCACCATATCTAGATTGACTACAGTTTGAAGATTCAATTTGTTGTAAGCCTATTGCAGTATATATGATCATAAATGAAGGTGCTAAAACTACTATAAAATGACTAGTATTACACCAGCCAGGAATATTGCAACCACCATATATAATTCTTGCCAATGTACCAAAAATAGAAAATGTGAGGACGAATTAGATCATCTTTATTAGCTCAAAACAAGATCATGCATAATAGCTTTGCAGTAATAAAACTAGTATATGATTCAGAAAATTACTTACCAGGAAGAAATGCCCTTCATGACATTTGAATCAATTTCCAACTAGACAATTCATAATTTTAATCATTTAATACTATTATTGGTTACACTCCCAGGAAGAATAAACTTAACAAATAGCCACAAATTGTATTAACAGGGAACCAATAAGCAACCCAACAACTTTCTACTATGCAAATCAAATTCCATGTATAAGTTGTATTAGTAAAACTCAGCACCAAAACCTAGAAAAAAAGATAAAATAAAGCATATCCATATCTCTTAGAAGATCAAAGGCCCTCGTTTTAGAAAAAAAAAATTAGAAACTAAAAAGATGACTTCTAAACATAAAAGAAGCATCATAGGAGCACTCCAAGTTCTAGAAATGAACTGAAATGAAGAACCACTGACCTTGAGCTATTGATTTAAAGCTAGTGTTCATGGCTCTATTCCAGTGTTAGAGACCTTTAGAAACACCTCTTTGGCTTTGTCATCTTCTCCTCTACTCTTCTCTACAAGAAACCAAACCAAAGAACAGTGTTATCCTTGTTGAACTACAAAACCGGAAACAGAGCACAAGGGAGACTCTTCTCTCTAGTCATGGTTTCTCTCAACCAATGGATGGCTAGTGCGTGTGTATGGGGTTCTATTTATAGAGCCCAAACCGCCTAGTTGGGGGCCTTCCTTCATGGTTAAGGAAACCAGAGGCTCCATCAACCTCTGTTTTACAAACCATTAAATCTGAAACCATGCACTCCCTCTCTCATGTGGGCTTCTAAAAACAACTTGCTATTTCAGCAGCTAGCTCTAGGCATTACTCCACTATGAACTCTTGGTTGAATGAGTTCTAACAAAAATATGCACCAACTACTAAGCAGAGAACAAGGGGCAGGAGACAAACATACGTACCATTGAGGTTAGGTGCAACATAGGCATCAACAACAGATTTCAACGGATTAAAAGGAGGGATCCATAGTACATAAGAAAAGAAAACACCAATAGTAAGAATTAAAAAGAAAATGCATTTGAAACTAATTGCTCTCCTAATTCTGGCTAGACTCATCGAACAACTTTTGCAGAAGAATGATGAAGAGCCATTGCATTCCCCTTCCTACATGTGCTACTACTACAGCTATTGAGCATCGATTTTTACCACTTGCCAAGCATCTATAATCCCCCTCTCTCTACTACAATATGTTCTCTATAACTATGAAATGTAAAAAAGAGATGAAGAAGAAACTGGGATTTTAATTTTTATAGGCAAACAAAGAAGAAAGCACTTTATATCCTTGGATACGAAGAGGACTGTCTTGACTTCTTTTGTGGGGAGAAGCAAAGAGAGAGAGAGAGAGAGAGAGAGAGAGAGAGAGAGGTAGAGAGGGCGCAGGAAGGGAGTGAGAGAATATAGAGAGGATGGGAGGAGGAAATAGAGGAGAAAAAGATAACCTCATTCATTTCCGCGTTTTCACTATAGTAGTTGTCACTAGTTTATAGTGGTAATTTTAATTGATTACCACTATAAATTAATATTTTGAGCAGCATTCATCTTTCATCCCTTATGAAACTGTTACTAGATGTTATTTTTTCTGGAAAATTTTACATTAGTAACCTAAAAAGTTAGTATTCGAACTTTAAAATGTGTCACTACAGTATTCAAACTTTTAAAAACTGTCAATTCAATGCTTATTGTTAGTATTCCGTTAAGTTTGTCAGTCACGTGATGACATGTGATGACTTAAAATTTTCAATATATCTAAAATACCCTTTCAGCATAATTTAGGACCATTTTACCCTTTTCATATTGGTTTAATATTTTCCCAAAATATATTGGTTGAAGCTGAACGGTGAAGACTGGGTGTCACCGCCATCGCTGTAGCAGAAGTTTGCGGACTTCCGATGGCCCCAACGGAGAGTATCACCTCGCCTCCATTACGTATCATGGCATGGTGGTGCTGCCCAATTTTATCTCGATAAATGATGCCAATCGCTGCTTGTTTCAGACCCTGTTGCACCTGTAAGAACCCGATAAATGACACCAATCACCGCTTGTTTCAGAACCTGGTGTGCCTGCGGGAAAATCAGAGAGAGTGCACTTGCAAGAAAACCAGAGAGAGTGTGTCGGCCTACGGGAAAACCAAAGAGAGATTGAGAGATTACTAGTAACAAAGCCACCATTAGCATGGAGAGCGACCCTAATGTTGGACAAAGTGGAGTAAGTGAGATAAGGGAGGTGGAAGTGTTCTTAGGTAAAGCTTATTGTTATTGTTAACTTAACGCCCACACTTCCTCTTGTTTTTTTAATTCTTTCCACTATGCTTTTTCACTTATTATTTATTTGTCTATGGATCTTCATCTTCAACTCTGCCTTTTCACTTCCCAGGTTATATGCTCAATGCTTTGAAAAAAAGCTCCTTTTCTTTCATGCAAGGCCCTTGCTCTATTTTTCTTGTTTTAGCTGTTCAACCGCAACTCTGAACAATTTGGATTAGTTTTCTGTCTGGTGGGTAGATTTGTGGATTTTGTTGGCTTTTGGCTCTGCTTAGAGAACACATATGGTTGTGAAAATTTGAGACTGGTTTGAGAGATTCTTCTTCTTTTTTTCCCCTTCTCTTATCTTTTTCTCTACTCTTGTGCCGCAGGGCCTGGATTTTCAAGCGTTTATTTGGGAACTCATATCGTTAAATCATATTTGGTAGTCACAAACTTCACCACTATGTTCTAACTATAAATGTCGTGATAGAGTTTTAAGGCTTCTATTTGTTCTCTGATTGGCATATCCTGTTTAGCAACAAATCTAACCAAGAACTGATGCTATGGAGGAATGTTGTTTTTGTAAGATGTTTATAATAGAATAATTTTTACAGATGTGAATATGTTTGTAGATCGTTAGAGATTTGAGGTGTTAGAAATAGAGTGAGAAATAAGATTTGGGCTATATCATTTGATTCAGCTCCACCTTGAATGGTTTACCCAGAACATAATGGATGGATTTCTTTTTGAGTTTCCTTGGTAGTTCCACTTTGAGGACTGCTTGTTAGATGATATGAACGAGTATGTTATGTTTACTCTAACAATTCAAACCAATTAGACCTCTGTCAAGCACTCTATTGAAAGAGAATGAGACCTATAAAAGGTAAGAGCAACAACTAAATACATCGGGATTTTATGTATGCTAGACAGTGTATGCTTTTAGCACCAATCAGATTGATGTATATATACATTTATTGTAAATGAATAAAAGAACATTATTGTTTCATGTTGATATTAATATGTTTTTTGTGAAATTATCCTTTAAACTGGACACTTATGAGATTCGTATTAGTTTAGAATGTTCTCAGCCATTTGATTGACTTGGGGAGTTTATCCTGCCAAGGCTGACAATGATGTGCTGCCAAAAAAGCTGGGGTATCTTGTTTCAGCTGCTAGGGTTAGACCCAATGTTTGGTTGAAACATTGAACCCAGACCATTTTATAGTTATGCCCTGGACCTTGGAGACTGATAGACAAAACTGGAAATTTACACATAACCCCTAGACTTGATTATGGTACTGCACTAGGTGTCAGATTGTGATGTCTTTGATATGCCAATAAAGTGAGATGTATTGAGGGTCAAAACCTGTGTATGTTAGGGCAGTATGAGAATCTGAGTGAATGATCATAATAAAAGGATCAACCCCTTTGTCGGACAAAGTGAATGATAGAGTTTACACTCTCTCTGGTGGAAAACCCAAACTGCCGACAGTGGATTTCAACTGTGTTTGAGATTTGGTTTTGCAAAATATATTTAGATGTATATATATATATATATATATATATATATATATATATTATGTTTTATGAAAAAAAGTTTGCAAAAGGTTTTAATTCTCATGATACATCCGAGCAAAGAGTGTGACAATGCACCTTGCAGCCAGGGGAGAGGTCTTTCCTAGTTGGGCAGTGTTTAATCATTATGGGCCGAGAGGTTAAGTGTAAGAGACCATTACAATGCTAATTACCTGATGACTTTATCTTACTTAAGTCTATTATCCTTAAGCCTTCATAGGATGGTTGGATTCAATGATCATTTAAATGTAAATGTTGGGCCTATTTTGAGCCCATAGTGATGTGCTCAAGGGTTCAGAGGCCATTGTGGGGTCCCATACCATACAAATTAGGCCTAAGTTGGCCATGCAACACTCTTGGGTCGTGAGCCTTATAGCTAATGGGCCTAAAGCCCATAATTAATATGATTAATTAAGTTGTCACATGAAAGCTTAAGTTGTCATGTGACATGGGGCGAAACTGGGTTTGGAAATGGGTATAGAGCACCTATCCTCTTAAGAGGATAAGGCTTATCTCTTAATAGAGTCCAAATTCAAATTAGATTTGGATAATCTCCAAATTTATTAGGAAAAGTGCTTCATAAAGAGATAAAAGAAGAAGAGGGTGAACTGATCAAGAAGCCTCTCAATACTTCTCTCTCTCTCTCTCCCTTCTTCTTTTGTCTTCCAAGAAACCCTAGTTCGACTACAATTTATTTGGGACTAATAGAGATTAGTTTTCCTTTGATGTTTGCAAGAAAAATCCAAAGGAATTTTGTGCTCACCTCCCAAGTTCGATCCAAGCAATTGGGTTGCAGTTTTGTTGAAAATTGTGTTGTTGAACCAGCTTCAGGAATACACTGCGCCATCTTCAATTAGGTATACATCTCCCTCTTTAGTTGGTTTCAAATATGGTCTGATTCAGTGCAAGATCAATCCTGAAAAATGCAATTTTTTGAAACATAGGGAATTTGATTCCTAGAAGGATTAGGAAATTTTTTAAATTTCGCCCAGCCATCTGGTATGGTTCGGCTATCCATATGATGGATCCTAACCTTCCTCCAAAGTGAAGGGTAAGAGCAACCCATCTCCGAAGAGGTTTCTCTCCAACAATAACTGAACACATCGGGATTTCTCTCTGGTAAAGACTTCCAATATGAAATCGTTGGCGATGAACGTTGCAACTTCGAACAAGACCTCTGGTCTTTGTTGCTAACAAAGGCTCTCGATCTAAATCAACAAGGGTTTAAAAATGGGTAATTTTGCCATTTAAGAAAAATCATTTTCTCTCTTCTATGGACCGATAAGGGTATTTTTGTCATTCCACTTGTCTATTAATGTGAGTTAACAATTTGGGACCAAATTGGCAGTTTTCGAAAGTTTAGGTACTGCAGTGACACATTTTAAAGTTCAAGTACTAACAAGACACTACCCCCAAAGTTCAGGGTACTGAAGTGAAAATTTCCCTAATTTTTTTAGTGAAATCATGATACAAATAATAGCTAAAGGTCCCAGAAGATTTCTAAGATTAAGATCAACAAAGCCTGAGAAAGCCACATTTGCTAACCAGTCAGCTGCTTGATTGGCTTCTCTAAACACTTGCTTGTAATGAGCCTATTCATTCAAATGAGCTTTCAATACTAAACAATCTCAAACAATATTCCTTAGTCTCTAAGGAGGCCCGGTGATGAACTTCAAGAACATGATCACAAGCTTTGAGTCGCCTTTGATGATGATGGGGTTGTTACTGAAATTTGCTGCTAAATTATGGGCCTTCCAAGAAGCCCAAGATTTGGCCAAATTGATAGATGTAGATTCCAAGTTATAAGCCTTGTATTCTACAACCTCTCTAAAGCGATTTCTAGTTATAGCTACAACAAAGCACATCCCATTATTTGAGTGGGATGCATAAAAAATTATCTTAATAGTGTTGAATTTAGAAGGATGACATTCTACTTATTTCCACATCTTTGTCAGGTTTACCAATTTATTTTTTAAACTAAAGTCAACATTTTCCATGTAAGATTTTAGAGCTCTCTCCATAATTATTTGAGGATGAGTAAATTCATTATTGAAGGTTTTCCAATTTCTACTCTTCCATATATTCCATAAGATAAATGCGTACTTTTCTTTTTTCTATTTGAGTTTAGCCTCCATATCTATTTATCTTCCTTTGGATCCAAAGGAATAAATATGGGATTTTTTTTTCAAAATATATGGGGAACAAGGTTACAAACTTTACTTTCCATCTGCACCTTCCTATCTTGGTCTATGACCTCGTTAACTTGAAGGTTAATGTTTTCAATTCTATCTTGAGGGATGATCTCTGTGAAAGCCACATCTGCATGTCATCTATCTTTCCAAAATCTAATTGAACTACCATTGTTGATTTCCCATCCTATTCCTTTACTAAGAAGCTCTCTTGATTTTAGGATTCCTGTCCATGCCCAAGATATAGCTTTTTTCTCCTTAGCATCCCAAAAGTTCTTTTTCTACAAATATTTTCCTATAATTACTTTCACCTAGAGATTGTCATTCTCATTTAAATTTTCTTAACCTAGTTTCTCTATGTTGGCTTCATTGATCCATTG